TTGCGGAATTAAGATCATTGCGGAATGACCCTGAAACAGTGACCAAGTTCTCATGCACAGATTACCTGGTATCTGGTCATTATTGCCCAATGGCCAAATAAATAATGAAGCACCAAACTTCAACGTCCTAGAAATACATCATGAGAGCTATCATGAGTACCAACGTCCCGTACCAACTGTACGGTAACGCCTACTACAGCAGTCATTCACCCTTACTTTCAACTTTCTCACCCCACTGAATCGTGGAGATCGTAAATCCACAAGAGGCTGGAATTCCGTTGGCTAAATAGTCTACACGTACATGTAGGCGTCAGTGTGTTCTAGAGTTTCCAACCATGGGAAGATTCAAAGTTACCACCATCCTTCCTCAGCGTTCGAATATATGCGTCGCCATTCGCATCCTACCGGTACCGAAATATGGCTTTGGGCGACTCTTAAACAAAAAGCAACCATGACAAAGCTTCCCCAGCGTTCGTTTGCGTACGACCCTTCGCATCTAAATGAACGCATCCCCTTTTTGCTCATACACTTATTCCCCTACCCGGAGTACTGTACTGGTTCATGTGTTCAAGTTCATCGACTCATACCGGCAGCAGACTGGCAGCATCGAACCAGTGGAATGCTATGGTGTGGTATCCAAGCCGGCTTTGAGGTAAACATCTGCAAGGAATATTCGACCAAGACCTATTGCCACTCCAAAGTAACTCGGAGCTTTTGCTCGATTGGCTGCTAAACTGCATGAAGATGTCCCGGCATCTCCGTTGCTTCCACCAATATCGCCTCGACACTCGACACCACCTTTTGTTCGAAAGCCCATCACCAATGGTGCGACAGCCCATCACTCCTGTTACCGTTTTGGCTGCAAAAGAACTGCCCTGTGACTTTGTAGTTGTAGTTGCGTACATGTAATTTGTTTCGTGTCTATCCCTTATTAGTCCAATGTGCGTACTAGAATGTCTCGCTAGAATGTCTTTCCACAATATTCCACATTGCCTTTAGTTCAATAAGGTTCTATGTAAAATACACAGTGCGAACTCGACTCCCCCTGCACCCCAGTCACACAGTGCACAGAAAAGCGGGATGTTCTACAAGCATTGTTTACCACTGTTGATGCATTTTGGTTGGTCCAGGGAAGTCACTGGAGCTGGAATAGTCACCACTGGTAGGCACTTCGGTGAGTTGACCAAAAGAGACCAACCCAGTCCAGATGTTACTACAGAGACGATCTGGCGATCCAGTTTGAATGAAAGTAGCACTTTGGTGCATTGACCAACAGTGACCAACAGTGACCAACATGTTCAGATGTTGTTATTACAGAGAAGCAAGCTATGGTGATCCTGTGGGTTTGGCTGAACGAAAGTAGTCAATGAAATCCTTGACACTGAAGCACCACCTCCAGCAAGACGCAGCGCCCTCTCCTACCATTCTAGTCTTCTGCTACACTTTTAGCGGCATAGTGGTTGATTGTTGCCATGAAAGTGGTGAATGGTCGCATGACACCGAGGCACCGCCTCCTCAACAAGCCACACCACCGACTCACCACCTTCGCATGGCAGTATTTCTGGCTACTTGTAGCTGTAATTTAGTTGATGCATCATTCAACACTGATTGACAATACCAGTATTGATGAGGAATCGCAGCATGCTTTTTAGTTGTGTCTTGGGTCTTGGGTGACCTTGTAGACCTACTCGGCTACGCGGAGCACATACTTTATCGCACAGTGCAGAGTGAAGTTTTAAGTGGTCTTGTCTCGGACTCTACGACATAGAATCCAGTTTCTTTTTATCAATCGACGAACTCCAACTTGAAGCGATTGGGGTCATCGTTCACTGCAGCCAATCTCTGGCTCACTTTTGCTGCTTCCTAATGGCCGCCATTTGGCCAATCGGAGCTTCAAAGTTCAAAGGTCAAGCCTCCCAAGCTTGTACCAGTACGATTCGCTTCATCATTCATCATTTCCTATTGCATCAGTGCGTTCGAGCAGTCATTGGCTTGCCAGAGAGTGACCCTGCTGGTCATTGAAAACCAATCACCAACGAAACTTGACTTTGGATCCATCTCTCTTTCTCTCTTTCTCACTTCCTCTCACAATTGTTTCCAAGGACGACAAAAGCCAAAACGAATTCTTTTCCCTCTTGTGCACTATTGGCTATTACAATGATGCGCTCCAACCTTCTTTCCACTCTTCTCGTTTGTGTATCCCTCCATGGTGTGTTGGTCGACGCTACCGACTCTGTGCTGGGCGTCCATGGCTCGGGTACTAGCAACCCTGCTCGTTGCTACGGATCCGTCATTGAAGAATTGCAAGCCCGCTCCAAGGTACCATTGCGCATGACCTACCGTTCTGTGGGATCTTCCATTGGTCTGGAAGAGTTTGTGAATGAGTTCAACCCTCTCCGTTCTGCCGATGATTTTGGATCTGGAGAGATCCCCTTGTCCACGGAACAGTGGCAGACATTCCAAGATGCCAATGTGACTGTCATGCAGCTACCCACCCTCTTTGGAGCCGTGTCCTTCTTCCATTCGGTGCCTGACATGCCCAACCTGAACTTGACCTCCTGTTTGTTGGCGCGCATCTTTATGCGAGACATCAAGGATTGGGCTCATCCAGATATCCGGGAAATCAATCCTGGTCTTGACAGGCTGTTTGCTGGCGACAATTCCAACAGTTTGGGAGCGTCTTTGCGCATCCGCGTGGCCCGTCGAGAGGAGGGAAGTTCCAATACCAACGCCATTACTCAGGTATGTTGGTTTCATGGTTTTCTGCGTTTCGTTTTCCTTTTGCTTGACCTTCAACAATCTTTCTTACATTTATCCTTTGCTTTCTTTCATTGCAGTACTTGAGGGTTGCCTGTCCCCAACACTTTCCAGCTGACATGGTAGGGCCTCTCCCGGAATGGCCCATTGACACGGAAGCCTGTCGGGGCACCTTGGGGATGAATGATTGCATCACTCAACGTGCTGGAACAATCGGATACAATGACGCTGGTATTGGTCTTTTTGCTGGATTGGATGAGATCTCCATCAAGAACAAATATGGCCGTTTGCTCACCTCCCAAATTGCCGCTGCCAACGGTGGTATCGGGGCCAAAGAATCCGGTGTTTTGCCTTCTGACCCCACTGCTGATTTTGGTCGAGTATCTTTGCTCGACCAGCAGGGAGAATACACATGGCCCATCACTCTCCTGACCTACATTTATATCCGCACAGACTTGTCCTTCAAGACAGATCCTGCGGAGCGTGGTCTTTTGATTACCTTTTTGAAGGCACTCTACGATCCCAATTATGTTTCGCGTTGTCAATCCAACTATGGATTCTTTTTGGCGGATGGTCCCGCCCTAGAATTGGGCATGAAGGGAATTGAATTGCTGGAGAGTGTCAATATTTCTCCAGAAGACCCTCAATGGACATTTGAAGACAAGCCTGAACCCATTGTTGGCGCAGGAGCATATGTTCTTTCCTCCAACAGACGCAACTTTCCAGCAGTTGAGCGCGAACACAATCTGGATGGTGTGCAAGATCTACGTGCGGTCATCTTGCAACTCGAGGAACAGGTCGCCACTTTGCAAACCGAATTGGAGAATCCCAGTAGTGGTGGTGGCAATGATGAAGCCGAGTTTTCACACAAGTATGAAGCCATGATTGTGGCAGGCCTCACCATGGCAACACTCTCATTGATTTTTGTCTTGGGGCTTGCTGCTGTGGTCATTACCCAAAGCCGAGCCGGGGGAAAGTAGGCTGAAGCTCAGTAACTTGGGACTATTTACATGTTGTTGTATGGTTACGACACAATAACGCACACTACATAGCAAATTTACACATCCAGCCAATCCCGTATTCCGTGGAACTGGTCTAGCTATTAATATCACAAACTGCAGCATACTCGTACTAGGCTAACCTAGATTCAAAGATTCAACACCACTACATCATCTCACGGGCACTGGTTTGCATCCAATTGTAGTTGGAATCGGCGTGGAGGGAGCAACCAATTCCTCTTCCTCCTCTTCCTCGTTACTACGCCCACAAGCCGGGAGAAGCTTCTGGCCGCAACACCACGACCAGTTGACGGCGGCCTTGATGAGAAGCAACATTGGGTCAGGGGACAAATCAAGTTTGCTTGGATCGACCTCGAACTGCAACAAGGTGGTCAAAATCAAGCCCTGCAATTGTTCCTGGAAGCTTGATGCCAGATCGCAGACTCGCTTTTGTCTCTTCAAACTGTACTTTTGCGTAGTCAAGTGAGTGTAAATGCATTCTTGACTTCTCATTTCCTTTTTCTCCAGAATTCTCGCGGCTCTCTTCTCGGGGATTCTCATCGTCCTCTCCTACCGCGGTCTTACTCTCAATCAGAGTACTAGTATGGTGAGGTCTGATCGGAAAACCTTTGCCGATCAAGGTTTCCGCCATCGCCAAAGTCATTTGCCTCAAGTCCCGCTCCATTGTTTCCTTCGCAACTGACAACACCATGCAAACAATCTGGTTCGAACCCATAGAGTCCCACTCCAGGGTGCAAAACCTATTTTAAAACTACTAAATAGCATGCCCACGCCCCGGCTATGACTGCTTGTCATCTTCTTCGACATCGGCAGCTGGAATCTCTTCGTAATCGTGTCGGCTTTCACACCACCACCTGATGGCAAACTTTCCAATGCAACAAGCAGCAATAATAGCAGCTGCAATCGCTACAGGGACGCGCCAGTTTATAACTCCATTTTCGACACTGATTTCAGTTTGTTTCAAGGATGGGTCCGCGCATCGCAGACTCCAGCTACAATAACCAGAATGACAGTCGGAATCCTCATTGCACCGAGCATCCAAAGGGAGAGCCGCTTCACATATTCTGGGGCTGACGCCGTCGCACCGACCAGAACGGCAATGTTCGCTGAGCAAACACCTACAGTTTGTGTCCATCAAGTTGCCAGGCCCTGTGCACCGAAAACCAAAACAATCGCCGTACTTGCAGTCACTGTCTTCGTCGCAGGGTTGACAGCTGCCCAGCTTGTTGACACACACTCCATGATCACATCGCAAAGTCTCACAGTCTGAATCTACTTTGCATTCGATGCCATGACACCGCTTCCAATGAAGTCCTGTTTCCTGTTCGCACAGACCACTCAAGCATTCTTCATTTATCGAACACAAGGAGCCCGTTGCGTATCCGTCCGCAGGAATAGGTTCGGAGATAGGAGTCTTTGACAGGGCCCTCTTTCCGTGTGTTGTATTGCTGCTGTTGGAAGCATTCTCTTTCTCGATAGTAGCATTCCTTGCTCGCCTAGCTAGTTCAGCCAGATTGTCCAAAGATACATTCATATGATAGTCAATGAGCCCTGCAATGCGATCGACGTATTCGGACTTGCTATGAGCAACGCCCAGAGGGTCCATCGGTGCCAATGATTGTTGATTGTCGAGTCCTAAATAAGCAACCCCGCTGGGATCATTGCCCAGAACCAAAAAATGCCCCCAGCACCCCGTGCCAAAACTAGGACTGAAGGGAATTGGATCATAGGTTATCCCCAACGTGTCAGAATCTCGTGTGTTTACCCAACGGTACCTGCATGGGGGCATCGGCAGTTAGTTAGTTCGGGCGCTATGATAGCCAGTGCCTCTTCCTTCACTTGATTAGTTTGTTCCAACGAAAACGTACCAACGTTCGTTGGAAATGTAGGGGCAACCAGGGGCCAAGGTCGGTGGTTGACCGAACGTGATCACGTAGGGATTGATGTCTGCCAGAGTCACAGCTGCAACTGCAGCGATTGATCCACCCTGGGTTATTGGTACGGTAGGTGAGCAGGTGCGTGGTGATTTGTTTGACGAGAAGAAAAGAGGCATACAAAATTTCATACCTGCGAATGCCCGGTGAGAACAACACACTCATCAGGGTTTAAACAGTCCTGTGCACATCGTCGTATAGCCTTCTCAAAGTCTGAAAGTCAATGTAATCAGAGGGTGTGTTTGTTTGATTGGATGGTAGAAATGTACCGGTAGTTGGTTTGAAGGCGAAAACACGCAAATTAGGAGTGTTCTTTTGGATGCAACAACAGTCAACAAACAAGCTTGTCTCGATAAATATGGACTTTCAGTTAGACTTACCCTGAAAGTAACTGGTGTGGTACGCATCGTAAAATCCAGCCCGTGCCGCGCAACAAACCGGTTGCTTTGGGGTATTGGGCACGGCCATGTTGTCACTACCACATATCACCTCCGACCCCATCCTGAAATTTTGACGCCAATCATCCCACGACATTGTCGTTCCACGGAAAACCCCATAACAGTATCCGTCCTTCTTGGCCACAAATGCTTGATCCGGTTCTATTGAAGCCGTTACGCAAGAAAAGGGGCTAAGTAAGTCAATGAGGGACGGTAGGAAACGAGAACGGGACACCAGAAGAACCATCACCGTTCCAAGATCAGTACCTACCGACAGTAAAACGCTTTAGTAAATCATAGCCAGAACTGGATGGGTTTGCATCATACACCAAGGCTGATAGCTTGGCGGACGTCAGTGTCAAATCCATTGTTTTCTTGTCCAACACGACATCGGAAGATATTGGTGCCGCCAAGAGGAAAGCAAGCAGCAATAGTGCCAAGGCTCTCGTGCTGCTGATAAAACACATCTTCCTCTACACTTCCCGTCTGGTTTCCTTTGCCAATGGTAGTGGGCACATTCAACTCTGGAGCAACAGTGATGGATGTTTGGCTTCCTCTCGGTTTGACAGCGAAAAAATCTTTGTGACGTCTTCTTGGATCTTTTCATGAAACTTGATTAGAGAGAAGGTTACATGTCGGAACGCGACCAACTCCCACACCGCTTTCTTCGTTCAACCCCTGCTACGATGTACCGGTAGCCTGGGGCCTTGACAGAGCCCTCATCACGCCGTACCGTACCGTGACGATTGTAGCAATTGGCACCTAGCTAGCTACTACTAGCCAGCTATTAGATAGATAACGCGCCTTTATTAACAGTTGGTTTTACTGAGAGCCAATGGCCAGGTAGGATACCGATATTGCTTTGTTCTTTTACAAAAACGCGACCCAAACTCTCTGCTCATCTTTGTGTCTTTGATCCATTGAGAGGTAGGTACCTTTAGATGTAGACCGAACTTGTGCCGTCGACTAGCAGTTGGACAAGTAATCGGTCCCATCCATTGGCATGGTTTCGTAGCCGAGTCGAAATGATACTTTGTGGATCTATTTAAAAGCCAACCCCTACATGTGCCGCACGGTACCGATGCGGGGCTCTCGCGGGAGAGACCACAAAGTCATACACTCTCCCAGACAGGCTCGTGATAAACCACATACCCTGACCAGAGAATGGTCGCAAACGCTAACGGCACAATGTACTATTAGTCGATCGTTCACCCGGAACACAGATGGTAATGACAACCTTCTTTGATGAACTTGTAGCCTGTAGAGAGCACGTGAATGGGGCCACAATGTTCAAACCCAACCGAATCGAATCTACTACTGTATAGCATTAAACTCCTACTCTACACACAACTACTGTGTTTCTCTCATCAAGCGCGAAAACATCAACCTCACATTCTCATCTTGTTTCTTAGTTAGAAACAAAGGTGTCGAGCCGTGTACTCGGGTCGAGAAGGTTTGCGGCACAGTCGCTTTCGCCGAGTTTTCTTGGCGTACTCCTCGGCGGTTGGCGCTTTCATGAAAACAGCATTTGGCGTGTGAAGCTTGAAGGCCTCCAAGGAATCACGCGATGCTCGCAACTGTGCTTCACTAATGTCAAACTGGCTCAGTGTGCTCGACAAGATCTGGATCCCTCTCTTATCGTCGATTCCATCGCAATCGTGCTCTCTTTGGAGTGACAGGATACTCCTCACATGGTTCATTCGACGCTCTCGAGTATCGCCACAGGCGTCATCCACGCATTTCTCCAAACCTCGAGAATAGCCACGTTGAAGGAATTCTTCTTTCATCTCCTTGCGGATTGCCAGGATTTCATTGTGTGTAAAGTGCAGTTCACCTCGATACGTTTCCGAAAGGTCCACCACATACGACATGTACGTGTCCTCTCCAAAGCTAACGTTGTCTTCATTCCGTTCTTTGTCAGTCAGCTTTAAGGATCTTGCGCTGCTAGATCCCCGCAAAATTGACTTTAGTGTCATCTTTCTTGGAAAGCGTTGACGCTTTTTCCAGAAGGTTGCTTTGGTAAACCAAATCAAATTGTGCGAAATGTGGAATGCTTTGAATCCATTGGCCAAGCCCCACCAACCGCGAGGTCGCGAGGCAGAGACAGAATGCAATCTACTAGTACTTCACTTTCTGACCTGGGTTGACGTTGGGGATTCGGTTCCAAAGATGTGAGCAACCACCATCTACAGCAACATACGTGGCGTTTTGGCAAACCACAGCATCATCATCATGAGCCTCCCGCGACTTTGATACATCGCCATCATCAAGACTCTTTACCATACACAAATCTTTATAGCGAAGCCAATGCTGTTTGTCCGAAGAGGGCAGTTCCATTATGGTTCCATAAGACAGAAGCTGTCCACTGTATGTCCGCGAGACCTGCAGTGGCACTGCTACCAGTACAGGCTGCTCGTGCGCAGCGGCACGTCCAGTACTCCTCTGCGTACGGGTTCACGACGAGCCCAAGGGCCTGAGTTGCTTTTCGCTTACTGCAGCCGTGTCGCAGATCGCCGAGGGTGGACCACGTTAGTACAGGAAGATCATAATGCTCACGGTTCGATGGACTCAACCTATAGAGAAGTCAATGCAAGCTCTATGTTCACTGCTGCACTGCTGCGGTGCCAAGTGCCAAGTTTAATGACCAAGAAGCTGGTGCCGGTAACATTGACCGTCCTCTCGACTGAGTGACTCCACTCTCCGCTCTAGACTCTGTACTACTCCGCAGACCTGATTGCTACCGGTACATGACGGTACCGCGGATACGACTGTACCGGTAGCTACCGGTAGCGGCTGCATTGCAATGACTCGACTAGGGGCGGTTCGCTACCAGCACTTGAGTGCTTGAGTGGATAAGAAAAGACTATTGAAAATCCCATGTCTCTGGGGCCGAACCATGCAAGATGAAGCTACCAAAACACCCTTTGGCTTCAAAACAGACGAGAACGCGCTAGTACTTTAGAAATCATCATTTGGCTTGGATGGAAAATGCACGGGTCTATAGTTTACATGATGCAAAACTGTTGCAAAATGGTTTCGGGAGTATCCTTTTCAGACTCCCCTTGTGGGTCGCACGAGGTGCTTGCGGATTGAGACCGCACGGATTCGCTTGGAGTACTCTTCGGCGCTCTTTGCTTTCAAAGATTCAACATTGCACTCCTTGTGCAATTGGAAGGCATCCAGGGAGTCTCTTTGGGCTCTTTCTTGGGCTCCCCGAGAATCGGATTTGCTCAGAGTGGCAGACATCATTTGCAGTCCCTTGGCATCATGGACACCGTGGGCTCTGTGTTCCTCCTGGAGAGCAAGGATACTGGCCACATGGTTCTTGCGACGGGCCTTGCTGGGACTGTCATGCTCGTCGCAGCAAAGCTCGCGTTGGGTTTCTTCGACATGGTTGCCATGCTCTTTCGTTTCTGCGCACTTGTCATGCTTCATCACCTCGAAGTCTTCATGACTGTACCACACTTCATGGCACTCAGAGGAAGGTTCCTTGAAGATCACCATGTAGTTCTCACCAAAGGTGACATTTTTCTTGCTGATTGGGGTCATCTTGATGATTATTTGAAGAACTGGAGGATTGGTTGAGAGGACTTCGGCTTGGGCAGCAAGCGAAAATTGTGACCAAAACTTTAGATGCAGAGAAGTTGGCTGCTTGCGGAAAAGGCAAGTTCCAATGAACTTCTGCTGCCTGAACAGAGGAAGTTACATTGGAAAGGGCAGTAGGATGTTGTGTTTCAATGAGAGGCAGGTTCTCTGATTCAGGTTCCAGGAATTGAGAGCCTTTCTTCCTTGTCTTTCTTGTGTCTTTCTTTCTGGCGAAATACTGGTACCGGTAATACAACAGTACAGTACTAGCGAGCCAGCTAGCAAGCTACTAGAACTAGCTAGCGATTACTGGAGGCTTTAAGCTTTAATGATTACTCGAGTAATGGATAGATGACTCCAAAGGGAAGTTTCTTGGGTCAGAGCACTTTTGAAGTTAAATAAATCAAGGGTATCTGGCTTCATCTTTAACTCTCTGAAAAAGCCAGAGGAAAGAGGGGATTAGCTTCTTCATAAAAACAAAGAAGTACATGGTATTTGGTGCACTTGGTCGTTTAGGGTAGTCGGAAAGTACTCTTGATAAAGAGACTCTCATCAATAAGGCACCATTGCGGATCGGATTCGTTCAAGGCCTCTCAAACCCTCACGACTTCACAAGCCCCAAATTCCAAAAAAGTCCTTGGAAGTTGGAAGTTGCAAGAATGGGCGAAAACAATTTTCTCCGGTGGCGAGATCACTTCAAAGCCGCCACTTTTGCAAATGAGGTGGAGACACTGACGTTGAAGAGGCGTGGAGCCAAGGAATTCCACTGAGTCAAACCGACCACAGTACCAATACCGAAGGAGGCTCTTGGTGATGGTCTGGAATGTGGCTGACCCGTGCTCTTGCAACTCGCAAGGGACCCAGCTAGGACCTTGGATAGAGGAGGATGTGTGAAGAGCACGAGTAGGGCTAGTAGTACTCAGTACATGTAACTAAAGTAAGGTACGGAGCTTGGTGACTGGTGGGAAGCATGATCGATGGGAGTAACTGTTACTTCGCTCTTCCTAGCTACTCTGGAGTTGTAGCACAAGCTAGCTCGGAGCAGGGTCTTTCGCAAAACTGCAATTGGGCAAAGCGAGGTTTGCAGCTCGTTTTAGTGCAACATGCTATTGCGGGTGGTTATCGATGAATTCAGATGCCTTCAGGAGCGAAAATGAGATGCGGAACAGGGTGAGGTTTTCGTGGCTGGCTCACGATGCATGTTTCTGCAGGAAGAGCAATTTGGTGTGCACGTGCAGCTTGGGCTTGGGTCCTTTCCTCAGTGGATTTGATAATAGCATCCCATCGTCCCATGCACATGTAGTTGCTTTTCTTAGCTTTCTGTAAGCTTGACAGCCACTTGCTTCCAATCCGCACTATCTTCAGCGAGGAGAGAGATGCAACCAGCATGTTGGGAATACTTGCCATGAGTGTTCCATTGACTGACACCACACCAATGATCGATGTGAGGTATGATGATCCCAAGAAGAGCTTCCAGGTCCAGCCACACAAAAAAAAAGATTTCATACAAAAAGAACAACGGCATCATCTCAGCAGAGATCATCACTCTAGTGAACTCAATACATTCAGGCAACGAGGACACACTTGTGTCCTTGATGAGATGTAATCAAGTTTGAAACAAAGGTTTCAGAAAAGCAACTGAACTTTCCCACAATGGATCAACCCATGCAGCAAAAAACGGACTATGTTGCTGTGGGAGAAATTGAGCACTGGGTAGTCTATACCGTAGCATCGATGCTTCTTTTGTCGACGGCTGGGTTTGCTCAGCCAAGATAAAAAAGACTAGAACGCAACAGAAGCAACATGTAATAGAATCCTAAAGCAAGGTCTGGATGATTTCCTTTGTATTTAGTGTCGTTTGGTTTCATTTCGGCGTAGCATCTACTCTTTCTTCTTGGCTGCCCGAAAGCCTGATAACCACTTGCTGGCAACCCCTTTGGCCGCCTGTTCCGCTCGTTTCTTGTGGATGTAGTAGCCAGCAATTGTTCCGACGATTCCACCTGATAAATGCGCATGATGAGAGACGGCGTCTCCTGAGAAGAAGAACTTCCAGAATTCATCACCCAACCACCAAGTGGCTACAATCAAAAAGGACAAGGGCAAGGTCCCGGTTGAGGCTGTCACCAGCGAACTCAGTAGAATGCAGGCAAATACCACACCCGAGGCGCCCAGTTGGTAAGTGTGTGCCTTGCCAACAAACAGATGAACCAGAGCACTACTAAAGGCCACCAAGACAATGATATAGAACAAGTTCTTGGAGCCAAATGAGGCTTCCACGGATGGACCAACCAGCAAAAGATGAACCATGTTGCCTTGAAGATGAGGCCAGTTCTCGTGCGCCACGACATGTGTAAACAGACTGAGGTACGAAAATGGGTTCCAGTACTCCGTGAACCGTTCATCAACGCCCAGAATGGGCCGAAGGCCGGGATAGATTACGGAGCACACATGGACCAGTGTACAGATCAGGACAAAGCCCAAGAGGACAGGGGCGTTGACGACGATTCGCTTCAAAATGTTCCGCGAGACAAATTCTCCAACAGGGCCTCCCTTGCTCTCTACTTTGTCGCAGAAATCGATCCAGGCATCGCTGCTCTTTTCTTTCCATTCCTCTATACCGGTAGCCATGGTGGAGCCGCTTACTGGGAACCAAAGGACAACAACAGAAGATGTCACCCTGACACCGGTCGCAGGATCCAAATTGGTGCAAAACAATTGAGTCCCTGATTTTGCGGGACTAACCTATTAGCTAATTACAACGCAACCGCTTGCCTGATGTGCGGGCTTTTTCTTTGTTGCGGCTGGTTGAAAGATTCTTGAGTCACCTTTCCCACGGCAGAGTAGCATTTTCCCAGCAAAGGAATGCCCCACTATGTTTATCTTTGGATCATACATGTACGTGCTTCATGAGACATGGTGTGGCTTTGAGTATGGCTTCGGATAGTCTCCGTCTTCATCACCGTTGACACTTTTCTATTGGAAAGAAGATGGTCAATGTCCGATGCTTGCTTTTGAGTTGTGCACGCAAATATCATGTCCAACATTCTCCTAGCTAGTGTCGGCTTTGGAGGTTTGAAAGACTCCGACAAGAACATCACAGGACGCCAAGAGCGTGTCGCGACGGCAGTCTAAAGTGTTATGCTATCCTCTCGACACAGGCACGAACTGCACTCTTCACCACCACAAATGAATCTGTTCTGGAGGCACCAGGGCATGGGGGGCTCCTTTTGCCGCGTGCCAATCAAAATCTTTCTTGCAGTAGCCACAGATCATGTGGCTGCATCCATCTCCCTTGGAAATGAGAATGCTGCAGTGTGGGCATCTCGCCCATCCATAATGACCTCCGTAGCTGTCCCGTCCTTCTGCGCGCTCCAGAGCTGCAAGAGTTGCATAGTCTGGAGATACAAGATACTCCTTGGCGCATGTGCCGCAGTTCCAGATGCGTTCCGTTCGGCGGTGTTTTTTGGGCAGTAGCCTTGGGTGATTGCAATGGGGACACTCGATGGAACAAGCGTCCTTCTTTTGAGCAACAATCTGTGCAATCTTAACACGCATCCGTTCGATCGCTTCCTTTTGCTTGGCTCGTTTTGTCTTTTCATGGAACTCTTTGCTTTCAGATGATGATCGGATGACCTTGTGTTTGTTGAGTTGCCCCCACTGAACGGGTTGTTTGCATTGGGGGTGGAAGCAGACAAGCGGGAAGCACCGCTTTGGGTTCTCCACATAGAGGTAGCGAAGGCACTTGAAGCAAGCAGCATCGTGCCAGCCACACTTGTTCGACAAAGGAACGATAGGCCCATCTTCAAAACAAATGGGACACTCGCCGCATGTCTCTTTCTCGGCGCTGGAGGCGGCAGCATCGGCAGGCTTGGTCTGTTGCACCGTCTTTAGGGCAAAGTCTCCCCCGACATCAGCACCCATGTGACGCTTCACGGGATCTTTTCTGTCGTAAGAGTCACAACAGACTTTCGCACCCGCATGGCTGGCACCCCCACGCCCTTTCTTCCGCCCGACTTCCCGGTCCTGGTGTTTGAGGTATCCCCTGGGCATATTCGCTTTTTCCTTTTTTGCTTCTTGTTTGCTTGTTCTTCTCTTCGATTTGATTTGGTTGTGGGCGTTGTTAGGCCCAACCAGGAGGGTCTTCTTCTCTTCCAGACGTACCAGGGTGTTTCCCAAACCCTCAACAGGGCACCGGTACACTCTCCCAGGTCAGACGTGGAAATCTGTATCTTCGGAACTTGGAATTGTGGCAAATGATACCAAAAACAATTGAAATAAATACCTCGCCTACCTGACATCTGGTAATATCAATATTATTGTTATAGCGGACTTCGGACGGTCAAACCCCCTTGCCAACTTCAAAAGGTCCTAAAAAGACTCGAAAGGGGAAGGATGGAATCGAATCGAATCGAATCGAACCAAATGGGCTCTCTCACGGTACATGTATGTAATCTACTGTATCTCATGACCCAAATTTGTTTTGATTGAACTTTCCGTTTATTCAAGCTGCAGCAGCATCGCTACTCGTACCATCCACCCTACTCCCCATTGCGTGCAACTACGAATAGCTTGTTTCCAACAAAAATGCTCTATTCTATTCATTTGCCCATTGAGAAATGAGAATACGAGCAAGACTAGCCCGTCCCGGAATATGGAACTCTTGTTCTTTCTCATTGGGTGTAAAGGACAGTGCCGTGGAACCGCCACTCAACCGTTCTCGGACATAGTCTTTGTGAAACCATTGGACATCTTCCATTTCCAGTTTGTCAATGGCAATATCGGGTCGACCAGCATCTTTGGCTTGTGCTCGGAATCCCACCATGAGTGATCTCGGAAAGGGCCACGGTTGGCTACAAACAAATCGAATACTAGACCGCTCCACTGTGACGCCACTCTCCTCGTGTGTTTCCCGGGCACAGCATTGTTCGAGTGTTTCTCCCACTTCGGCAAATCCTGCCAACGTCGAGTACCGACCGGGAGGCCAGTTTTGTTTGCGCCCCAGCAGAGCGTACTGTTGGCAGCGCGTGGTAATGAGCATGATGGATGCCACATCGATGCGGGGGTACACGGATGTTCCACAATTAGCGCATTGACGAGACGCTCCCGCTTTGCGAATGCGCGTCGAAGAGCCGCACTTGGCACAAAAGGGATGCGATGTGTGAAACTCCACAATGCCATTGGCCGTGGCCAGTATGGCAGAATCGACCGAAGAGTCTAATCGATCTCCAAACTCTCTCAATCCTGTCATTTGGAGAGATGAATCAAGTTTTGGATGATTGTCACGGTTTTTCTCCCAAACTTGTAACGCTTGATCATGGCTGAAGCTAGGTTTCTCTACATAGCAGATCCAATAGTTGTGATCGTTGTGTTCCCCGAGCCATGCCAAGAACTGTTGTGCATTGTCACTGTGGAGAGAATCCTTCAACACTTGTTCTTCGCCCAACAATTGAACCAGCTGTGGATATGTCCAGAATACTGGCTGGGGCGCTGCTGATAATGATGTCGCCTCTTGTTCGGTGTAGTACATTCCATTTGCCGTTTGCAGGACAAAACGGGCATCTTGGCTGACAATTGCCTTCCAGTCGGCGTCTCTATGATCGAGTACGTCGGTTCGATCGCGACCAATGGAAGGATCCGAGTACCACGGGTTGGATACCGTGGCAAGGGTGTCTATTGATTCCTGACCTTGCATTTCAAGAAGGCTCGTTGTTTTCCCGGCAGCACCCGATGGGAAGGAAACAGTAGGACCAAACGCCCCGTTCGGCTCCCAAAAGGAGAGAAATCCAAAAAGAAGCAACAAACGTCTGCGAGCCATTCTCAAAATTGCTCCATTTATGGTCTACTAGCTAGCTAGTAATTGTGGTCGCCATGGTGTGATGAGGAAGTGTTGATGGATGATGCCAACATAATGGTCTTGTCACTGGTGTTGTGATGTGTGTGATGTGTGATGGTGTTTGTGCGTCATATTCGTTAAGTAAACCTGCAAAGCTGTTTTGAGTGTGCTTCGTGACACCTCCCAGGCAGCCCCACACCAAAACAACCAAAAACTTCCAACAACATGAGAAACAATCAAATACGAGGAGTGACAGTCCCTCCGACTAACGAGACGGTACTTGCATGTGTGCTGCCGAAGGCAAAACATAGATGAAACTATAGATTACTATGTTACACGGAGGAAGAAGTACAAATTGGAAATGAACGTCCCCACAACCTCGTTCGCCGGCGCTTGTCATGTCTTGTCTAACCAGTGGAAGGAAACTGGCCTTTGCTGGCCTTTTTCTTTTTCAAAATGCTGCTGCTGCCCTTGGAATCATGGCTTCCCAAAACGACTTTCGTGATGGAATCCATGGAACGGGGGCCACCCTCGAACGAAACAGTCTTGCCGAAAAGATTATCATCCTTGTGTTGCTTCTTGAGAGCTTCCTCTCCAACCCAATAGGTGATCATTTCACCCTTTCCTTTAATAGGAACCTTGCCTCGCTTGAGGACTAGAATATCAGGATCTTGTTCTTGCAAGATAAGGGCAGACTTTTCAGAACACTGAATCCGGTTGGGCAAACAGTTGCTCTCCATGCGGCTCGCAGTGTTTACTGGATTGAACATGAAAAGAATGACACAACCATGTGAGTGGGGATTGATACAACTAGCTAGCAAGGGTCTAGTTGGGATGTCCAGCTTTTGCGTTGGCTACCTACCAGTGTCTCCGAACAAACCATAGCGGGGATTCAAACTACCAATGACATTGGTGACAACAGGACCCTGGAGAAACAAGGGCGCCAAACCAAACAACAAGTCGTGAGCAGCCAATTCGCTAAAAATTTGCACAAACCAATCCTTCAACGACAATTGGATCACATCGCTTGCTACATACCGAATGAAAGCCGACGTGAATGTGGACATGTCCAACCTTGGGTTCATCCTCGTCAATCAGAATGTTGGCCACTTCTTCGAGCGCCGCCAAGGCAAACAGAGCAACATGCTTGACATGAGAAGCTTCCTGTTTCCCCCCGAGATTGGTCACTCCCATGTAGCATTCGCCGACTAGAAAACAAAAACGACGCGTGAGATGGGGAGGGCTCGTCAAGCGCAAAAAAATCGTCAACTCTGTACCTGTTTCCACCTTGAAAATCTCATGCTCCTTGGCCTGTCGATCCAACGCGAAAAAGACACGGTCCAGCATGGTTGTGACTGCAGAGAGCGAAAAGTGAAAAAACGATGCAGCCCATTGAGCTTGTTTTACAGTTATCAACGCATCATGTTTCTCATTGTGAATGGCACGTACCTTTCATGGGTGGCAGCTTTCTCGCAATATCCTGAAAGTGAACAATTTCGGCAAACACAACTTTGGATTCGTACCGAGCAAGTTAGCACTGGGTGTTGATCATACTGTTGACAAAACCCCTCAAATCACAATGGACTTACCAGTCACCAGATCATGCTGCTCGGGGTCGACCTTTTGGCCTGCCTTGAGAGCTTCTGCTACATGCTTGGGAAACATTTCGTCGAACATGTCTTTTGTCACCGGTTTGGATCGTGGGTCGTTTGCCAAGAGCGGCTCTGCATCTCTCATATTCATGTCCATCAGAGCCACGTCAAGATCTTTTGCTTGTGGGCGGAAGAAAGGATCCGGCGACCACAAGTTTTTCATCAATCCTACGAGTTTTGGTGGGGCAGTTGCTGAGATGGTGGGGCGATGATTCTTTCTTGGATCACAGACTCTACGGAGCACAGTCTTGTAGTTTTCACCCTTGTACGGGTCTTGGCGAGAGTACAACTCGTAAATGATGATGCCCACTGGAAATGGAAGCGGGGGAGGTTGAGTTAGTTGAACAAAGCGAAATGCTATCAGCAATAATCTACGCCAAGGCTGCCTCAAGGACGACAGACGCCTGCCTACCTGAGTACATGTCACATGTGGTGTTGTAGTCTGACTTCCCGCGCAAGTATTCTGGAGCAAGGTAGAAGGGGGTGCCGGAGATGCCCCCTTTCTTCTTGGTCGACAAGCCAAAGTCACAAACCTTAGCTCTGGATCCATTTATAGGAGGAAGCTACATGTTAGCATTGGCACTTTTTCATCATGAGAAACGAAGCTGAAATGAACCTACCTGAAACGAGAGTCAATCAGGATGTTCTTGGCCTGACGAGAGGGAGGAAGCCAACAACGAGATGAGTTGAGTTCAAAGGACAGTCGCGGCTGGGGTTAGAGAGGACAGAGACTGATGTACCCATACCTTAAGGTCCCCATGAAGGATGGGTGGCCTGCTTGCATGAAGATACCTCAACCCCTGTGCTATATCTCGAAGGATCTGAAGGCAGATCTCGCCAGAGAAGAACATCGTTTCAGAGTGGAGAAGATCGTACAAGGATCCATATTCCTATAACAAAGAAATTGTGTTCATCAGGCTTGGGTCCATTGCTGATCTCGGTCAAACTAAGTAAGGGAAGAAGAAGACATACCATGTATTCCTAAGAAGATGCCAAAGAGAGAACGTTTCGAGAGCGATGAGTTGTCGGTTTGTTTGACAGCAGAAGCAGGATGGCAAGCCAAACTTACCATGACAAGCATAGGATCATGCCCTCCAGTGACAACAGCTCCCATGACTGAAAGGAAAGAGGTATCACCGTGAGAAAGCACCCAAGCAAAACACATCCACTGGTAGGGCACCGTTCGAACATACCGGTTGTGATGCAGGGGTGGCGCAAACGGCTCAGCAGTCTCATCTCTTCTAGAAATTCCTCTTTCTGCTTGGACTGTGCATCGAACCATGGGCAAAACAAGGCCTTCATCGATAGGTTTCGATTGGATGCAGAGGTTGTCTCGACAAGGATGCTGGACTTCAGGCGTGTGTGGTCCTTTGTCAATCCAAATACGGAAGGGCACCACTGAGCCCACCAACGACCGTGTGACATCTCAAAGTCGTTCTCGTTAAGGAAGCTAAGATCCGAGCTACGAGAAGCAACGCTCTCTCGAGAAGCCCCCTCTGCAGAAGGGGTACTGGAGGTATCCTCTCGAGAAAAAGCACTGCCCTTCGACAGAGCACTTCCTCGTGACACAACACTGCTCCGTCTGACGGTATTGCCTCTTTTTTGAGCCCGGGCGTCTTCTGGTTCGTCCAACAATCCACTCTCGATATCTCTTGACCCCTTGGCATCTAGAGAACCACTCGCTAGACCCCCCTTGGAACCTTTCCGCGTGGTGCTTCCCTTGTTACTTGGAGGTAGCGCTCGCTTGATTGCAACTTTCGTGCCCCGGTACTCTGCCACAAGTACCACTCCCTAGAAAGTTCAAACGCACGGGAGAAATCAAATGAGCCAAGGAATCGAATCAGTTGCTACCAACCCCAAAAACTTACAAATGATCCCTGTCCCACAACTTCTACTGGCTCTGAAAAGTGCAGTTCCTCAACGTTGACTAACCACATCTCATCACTCTTCCTCCTCTTGTATCTCAAGAAAACGTAACCAATCTCCAAAGCCAGAACCAGGATTATGCTGGATATGATGATGGCGAATGTTGAACTACTCATACAATCACCAGCTATTTTGATGGTACCAGAGTCACAATCGCATTGACCGTCCGCCATCTTCGTAAGAATATTGAAAAGCCAACAGTGAGGACAACAAAGACTGCCCAATATCCATACTACATCTCACGAAGTAGAAATGGATCGACGTACCGGTGACATTCCTTTGCCAGGAAAATCCAAGTTGCAGTCCCTTGGGTAAATTTGCACCCGGAAAGGCGACTCAGGAATCTTTCAGAGACGACGACAAAGAAGGTGATAGATCAGACAAGCAACGTGGCACGAATTGAGCACCTTGCAACAAGAAATTCTTTTACCTGCTTGTTATCGACAAACACTTCCAAGATTCCAACACCCAGAATATCTTCTGTAAAGCTGAATTCGTAAGTATAGCTCGCATTCTCGACCTTCGAGACAGGCACTTCGTTGGAACTCTGATCCATGTGAATCTTTGCCTTGACGATAGCGTTGTCGCGTTCTTTATTGTCAATGGCTCGGAATGTGATCAACTTCGTTTGCTCGACAGTACCACACAAGTCCATCTTGTCGCAGCCTGTGCCGATACGGCTGAGCTCCTGAACGTCGCCTCTACCATGACTGTACTCGTACACATCAACTTCGAAGGCCTTCACACATGGCTTGCAGTAGCAGTCATGACCTTCGGGGCATGGCAACCCAGCTTCGATGCATGTCTGGTTGAACCGATCTCGGTTGACTTTGTAGTGACCTTCAGGGCAGATGACGCTTTCGTACTGGGAAAAGAAGAGAAGATTCAAGATGTCATTAGTCAACCATGTGTAGGTTCCACGGAACTATTGTGGCTGTGTCTATGGGATGCACTCACCAGCGTTGAGGCTCTGATACATTGCCATTTTCCTGCGAAGAAGTTCGCAACATTGTAAGATAAAAGAGTGGTGCTTGTCAGAAACATCAAGGATGGCTTCCATTCTGGTGCTTGCCTTTGTCATCTTGCTGAAGAAATCCTGCTGCCTCTTGCATGGTGCGAAGCTCAAAGTAAGATCGCGGGGCTCGGAATCCGTTGTGGTTACCCGCAATGCCAGCTTTGCGTGCTAGTTCCGCGAGTTCCCTTGTTGTGTCACATGGAGAATCATCGTCAAAGAACTCAACAGGCGCAACGCTGCAAATGTTAGGGATAGTCCCGTTTTCGCAATGTTGAATGCTGCAAATCTCAGGAGTGCATGCTTTGACCCTTTCACCAACGCGCTTGTGTTGGTCAAGCTTGAGGAGAGCTGCTTGCACCTCTGCGGCAACATCGGCGGGAACGTGAGTCGTTGCAGCAAGGGGCCATTCGGGGAAGATCGGCTGTGCACGAGAGAAGCAAGGTATCAGAAGGTAGAAGTCCATTTCAGCCATGGCGAATTGATACGTACCGCTGTGAAAGATAGGGCAAGCAATACGTTAACAATGTCAAAGGCAAAGGAGAAGAGAGCTGTCAGAAGGAACTCTTTTATCTCAAACCGTGGCGCATCTGATTTGATACGTACTGCTATGAAGGAAAGGGAAAAGATTCCCGTTGTCAAGGACATAGAGCTTTGGTTCGAGAACCTTGAAAATTTCCGGGTCAATAAGCTCATCTTTTTCGTCCCTGGTCCTTTCGATCTGGCCTGTCCGAACGAACCCAACCTCAAAGTCCCTGTTGAGCACACCTGTAACAATTTTGTACTGGTTGTCTGAGTGTTTGCATGGTTCAAGAGCAGGCCGGTTTGGTCAGACAAGGCACCTGACAAGACAAGCAATGATACAAAGCCCGTTTCGTGCCTACCTGTGAACACTACCTGCTTTGGATCCATGATAAAGTCTAGACCGGACTCTTGCATGACGTAGAACTGGACCTGCCCTCCTGCAAAATCCGAAATGTCTAACGCCCCAATGACCTTGTCTTTCAAATCATTCAACGTATTGATCCCATAGTTGTCAGCTCTTGTAAAGATGACACCTGCAACACCAACGAGCAAAAGCAGAACATGAGCCACAAGAAGAGAATTGGAATCACCCATGAAAGACGATTGCAGTTGGTTAGTGTATCGTACCTCCAAAGAGATCTAGGTTGTATTCATGACCACGCACTTTCATGTGCGAAACCGTGGTAGCCAAGATCTGCGCTCCCATTTCGACGCCAAAGCAGGACATGACCCCCGTGTCGGAGTAGATGAAATCCATTTCATTCTCTTCCCGACCATCCACCCAGTCTGTGATGGGTTGATCCGACGTCGTCATGTTGAAGGAAATGGGCGGATCAAACCGCTGTCCAGCGGTGGCAGTCAGGTAATCCACAAACGTTGTATTGAATTCCCTCCAAGCTGTATCGATCCCTCCAGGGGCATGAACACCAATCTGATACACCTTCTTGTGGATCAAGGGATCAAACTTGCGAAGTCCTGCAAAACAATCTGGCCTTCCGCTGTGATCCGAAGACCCCGATCCAACCATGCGAGAAGGCTCCCAGATCAAGAGAGCCGTCAAGGCGGTGGACAAGATCCATTGAGCAGTCTTCATCGTTGTCATCGTTTGTAGCAAAAATACCCTTCAGAGATTTGGTTCCGTTTGCTTTTGGTTTTGTGGGGGCAAACGCTGCAGCTCCATCCACTGGGCAATTTTTACCGTACATGGCCGTGCTAGCGTGGATCTGCCCTATCAGCGAGAAGCCAAATCAGGAGCCCAGAAGTTCAGGGTCGTCTTCCCCTCGGTTGCCAGAAGGACTTTTGGAGTTCGTGTCGGCGAAAGATGAATGCGAACTCTATCAAAAGTGGAAGCTGAAAAGAAGTCGAGGTACAGTCGTACCGTACCTTTGGTTAAGTGGTGTCATGTAGGAAAAAAATTTTAATTTTTTAATTTTAGATGTTTAGATTAATAAATGAGAAAAATGAAAAAAACCTCAAAATTGATTTGCCCCACCATATTTCGGGTAGATATGCCCCTGTAAAGCTACCCACCTAGAATATGGGTGTTCTAGGAATCCTATTATCTTGAAGATAATAGACAGTTCTGAGTTCTCCAAAAAGAGTAGATATCATTCCAAGCAAAAAATTTCGAAAAAGGTTGAGTTTTGGCTGAGATACGGTTACCTAGATATGGCGGCTTGGGATGGCACAGCAAAGCGCAACCATGGGGAGGCCTGTAGGAGACTGGGGAAGGTCCAAATTCAAAATAGCTTTTCATCAGTCCATACTTCATGTATTTGGGCATGGACTGATGAAAAGAAATTTACAATTTTATCACCTCTTTGTTAAGAAAACTGTCTCCCCAATTTGCATTCCAGGACCAAAGCAAAGGTACGGTACTACTAGTAGTAGCTAATACTACCAGTAGTACCTACTCATACCGGTCGGTGTAACAACTACAATACGGAAGCAGCTGCTACCGCACGTTAAAGAATGCGAAGGCTCGAAACACAAGCAAATAAAGCTGCGCAGCTGTTAGGGTCCATTGAACTCGTCGTTGAAGATTCGATCAGATTCAGGCATACTGAATCGAATGCGGAAGTCGAGCTCGTGGAGTGTTGTGATGGCAAGCTTAAGTAAGTGTCGGTAGTATTGCGGCTACCGGTACCACTTGCAGATCTGAGACCGCTGACTTTTTCATCCCGTTGTTGTTGGGCACTGTACCGGTAGGTAGAAGCCATTGGACCGATAGTCCATTGATCCAGCAGACTTCGCTGGACTGTTACTGTACATGTACAATTAATTAGCGCCAGCTCCCAGCAAGAACTGCGCAGCAATCCATCCGTCAACCTGAAGCTTCGTGTTCTACCGTACCGGTACGCGTCCCGTGAAATCGTGCGAGCTTCTCACTTGGGTTCGGTACTGCTGGGTTGGGTTATCCCGTTCTTTAACCCAAGAGCCATTACAACTGCAATGCAATCTCATTCCTCAGAAGAGCTCTCTTTGTACGTCTTCTTCAACTTGCAACTCAACATCAACATTCTTCTGTTGACCAAGGGTCCTCGGCTAATGCATTGTGGTGCCTATTCTCCGTGATTGGTCTTGACTAACTGAACAAACAGGTGAACATTGTTTCTTTGAAGGACCACATTGGTTGAAGCCCTTTACCCTTCCCTGCCTACTATGAAAGTGTACGTGTGGCGAGGAAGGTTCACTGTGATATCTTTGTTCCGATTCTAGCCGACACGGAAGCTAGCTAGCTAGGGCCGAACTGGATCTTGCAGAATGTCACCGCCCGCCGTTGCTACCGGTAGCTCGAGGGACGACGGTTTCCTCGCGGTACCATCCACCAAAATAAGATGATCAGGACATCTTTAGCAGGGGAAACTGTCGGCGCCATCATAGTTAGTAAAGAACACATTCATTCTTCAAGTCCCAGTGTTTGGCACTTGGAACCAGTTGGGGCCCTTGTTGGGTCTTCCCAGACACGAACCGAGGGATCTCTACCATTGTCTTCACGCCTTCTTTTCGCTCTGGCAATCCCAGCAAACTCGTTGAGTGACTCGACTCGTCAGATTGGAATTCACCGATACCATTGGCCTTTGCCGAGCGATTAGAGCGCAGTGGCGCAACTTGACCGTCTAGCTAGCTAGTAGTAGACCAATTCTGGCTGCGATGCTACAATAGTAGCGCTTCTTTTGATCGAGCCTGGTGGAAGGGATGGCGTCTCAATTGCTGGGTTGTCGGAGCTTCTGCCGTGATGACCAAACATTTTCAGAAAGGTGAAGCCTGGCGCCCTCCCTCGTATCTTTTGACATCTTGGTTCCCTCAGCCTGTACGGTCCTTGACATGTCGGTGTCCTCGTTGACTGTGGGGCCCAGTCCTTGACAACTTGGTTAGAACAGAAACTTTCTTTCGATTCTTCAATGCTTCAATGTGAACCAGTACCACAGTTAGGGGTTTGCAGATCTATCTATCTATCTATCTATCTATCTATCTAGCTTCTGAGGAAGTGCGCTGACTGCAGGCGCTTTTGGCTGGCTAGTTACATCAATAAAATTGAAACAGAGCGTTTGGTGCTATGCCGGGCTCTGGTCGTCCCAAAATGTAGCTCCAGACTAGTACCTTCCTACTAGTGGCCTACCAAGGGCATAGATGTGCCCGGAGAGCGTTGCATTGTTGAGTACGATAGGTGATGGCAGGCAGAACATAGCTGTTGGTCTGGTAATTCCCACTGGACCATGCCAGTGTGGAAATTGATGCATGCATCGGATTCTGCAATAATGTCCTCCCGTATACCGGTAGATTGGTGGTGAGGGTCTACGGCAACTCCCAACATGAACTGCTTTTTGTCGCATTCCATAGGTGGCCACGTATTTGTAGAATCCTGGTCCTCGTTTTTGATTTGAATGGTACCATACCAGCCGTGTCCGGTACCTTGGCAACCAAATGACTGATATCCATGACAAATATGTTTCCACTCCAACTTTCCAAAATGGCAAATCCACGATGCATGGGTATGGGTGGATGGCATTTTATTTGGCCAACATGACTCTGTCGGTTTCTCGAAAGACGGATGATTTGGTGTTGGAAGATTGATGCGTTGTGGCCTTCCAGTGGTACGGTAGTACGGTAGGATGCTATTGAATGATGGCGCCAATTTCTTGTTCTCGCAACTTGCAGTCACCGAAAAATATTCTCATGGCTCGGCAGAGCAGGACGTGATCGATTCGATTCGATTCGATTCGATTCCATGCTATTTCTCGATTCCACTTTTAGGTCAAGTGGAGCTACTAGACTATAGCAAGATCATGTCAATATGGGTCTATAGAGGTTGTAAACCTCCCCTCCAGACTAGGATCCAGGCAAAGGCAATGGCCCTGGTTATACCAGAGAGGCCTGCTGCATGTATCACAGACAGACCTACTTCCATCAATTTACCCGGGCGGGAGGGAAGGGAAAAAGGAAAATTGGTGTCGGGCGGCTGCAACTCTGGTTCAGAAAAAGTGAACCTGATTTGTAGCCGCCCGATTAGTAGTCCTTCTAGCTACTCATCAACACCACAAAGGCACACCACCTGTGCAGCCGACACTTCGGTCCACCACCTCATCCTTGAATGAGTGGCTCTCCCGGATTCCTGTTCGTCAGTCTCCCTTATGGTCGGCTCCCTGTTAACTTATACTCTCCGTTCTGTAGAATCTCTTCATTCCCTGTCTGGGAAGGTGGCGATTCCATTTTAGGTCAAGTGGAGCTACTAGACTATAGCAAGATCATGTCAATATGGGTCTAAAGAGGTTGTTTTAAAAAAACCTTCCCCCCTTTCCCCCAAGGAAAACTAGGTTCCAGGCAAAGGCAATGGCGCTGGTTATACCAGAGAGGCCTGCTGGATGTATCACAGACAGACCCACTTCCATCCAATTTACCCTCCGTCGGAGCCAGAACCTCATGACTGACCATAGATATAATCCCCCGGGTCGGCCGGCCAAGCCGGCCATTTACGCCGCCGACTGCCAGGAAGGTGGCGAGCTTTGCGTGCTCTCGCTGTTGTTGCTGCTGTGTTGTTGTTGCCTGCGTTTTTTATGTCCCGACTCGGCTGTAGAGTTACCTGCTTTCATCAGGCGGAAGCCGGTGTCGGTCTTGTATACGTCGATTTGATAACCGCCAGGCACCTTGGGGTCCAGCTTGATGTCCAAGAACGGCCATCTGCCAGGGTGGGCTCCTTGGATGGTACCCTTCCGTCCGTTGTACTTGTCGTTGCTGGAGATGATGATGCGGTCACCCTTCTTCCACTCGTGGTATGGTTTGACGAAGGCACGGTTTTTGCGGGGCTGAGCCGGTTTTGGTGCTGCGGATGGTGTTTGGAGTGGGTGTTGCCGCCCGCAGTTTGGCTTCCAGATCTAACTTGGCCACTCGTGGCGTGAGGAACGCCAGGTCGTCTTGGACGAGGTGTACCGAGTCTGAGATGTATTGGACTTGTTCGGTGAGTAGTTCCATGTCGTCACAGGTATCGTATCATGTCTCTGAGTCGCTCATGGTGGACTAGGTGTTGGTGTTGTGGAGATCGATTGCAGTTGTATTGGTCCGTTTTTAGTAAAGTGAGGACCGGCACTTGGTGTGACCGTAGGATTTGAATGGTCTGGGGCCACCCGTCCAGCGCGGTTGACGCGCGGCGTGGTGTTCTTTAAATAACTGGGATGCCCGTCGTGCCGTGTCAACGGTGGCTTCTTCGCTGAAATCCGCCATAAATAATTTTGTCGCCGATGTGAGCGGGCCAGCCGAGAGTTCTTTCGATGTGTACCAACGCGAACTCTCGGTGGGACAGCGTGATGAGTAGTGGATCGATACTTCCATCGCTTGCCGTATCGAGTGGTACCTTTTCTGCTGTTGACACAAATGGATCCCACCGAAACCCTCTCCCAGTGATGTCGTCCTAGTAGCGAAACACTTTCGTTGAGTGGAGATGATGGAGTTGTTGGCGTAGAGCAGGTTGGCAACGGTAGTCTTCACGGGGGTGCAAGCAGTAGTTGTTTGGTGCTCACAAAAAATGTCGAGCAAGCCCACAAGTGCAGTTGCTACTTTCGAAAGTCCCCCTGGTTTCCTAGCTGAAGTTGTTGGCATCGCCTTCCTTGAAAGTTTTCCCCCTGAAGAACGTGCTGCCATGAACGTTGCGCAGCTTCCTACCGAAGATGCTGCTCTTGAAGCTTCCGCCGCCCCTTCGGGCAACAATTCCACGGCCGTCTCTGATAGCTCCAACCTTGAGGATATGGAAGAGGAAGACGCCGACGATGATGACAACCCGCCGCCACTTGCCGTCCCCGGGCTCCATCCCTGTTGGGAGTCCGATGATGAAGAAGAGGAGAGGATGACTGATGGGTCCGACGAGAACTTCGAGGAAGAAGCGTCGGACGAAGACGAGGAGCCCGGGGTGGTGGGCGTGAAGTCTCCTCCTCCAGAAGTGCCCGTTCCCGTCCGTCGGGGCACCGTGGCGTCATCTACTTTGACGTCTCCAGCTGCTACTGCAGCGGCCGGTCTGGCTCCTCGCACGGTACAGACGGCTCGACGACGTGGGAATCA